AAAGAGGTAAGTTGGTAGTTATTTCCTTCGCTCAAATGTCAAAACAGCAATCGAAAAATTTCTATATAAAATTTGATTTGTGGGTGAGTAATGCATGTTTTTCCATTACGATCTAATGACTCCCCTGGTTTGCCGCAATGCCTTTTATGGCGAATTACCAGTACCCCTTGGCTTTAATACTCGAGAACAACAATTATGCGAATCAATCGGGTAGATTGTGACTGGCAAATGTTCATTTATTTAATTTTTTTTTTGCTTTTATTCATAGCTGTTTGGGTACAAATTCCTTGTAGCACTATGAATACATCTGTCGTCCTATATAAATTACAAAACGACAATAATAATAGTTGTTGATAATAATTATATAAAAATATAAATAATACTACCAATAACAACAACGGAAAAAATTGATTTCGACCACCTTTTTTGTATTAGTTTGAGACTCAATGATACAAATTGCAATTTTTCCAGTTCCGTAATTACACAATAGTGCACATCTCGAATTCATGGCTTCCTACAATCTTTACCTGACGGCAAGCTTGTTCCTGTCCTTTGTCGTGCTGTCCGCTGGCATCGAGATCAAACGAGTGAAAAAATGCGGTAAGACCAAGAAATTTTGCTTGCTGCCCTTCAATCATGTATTTATATGTGTTAACGTTTTTTATATTTTTGTCCTTTTATAAGATAAGTTTAAGCCATTAATACGTATGATGCACGATCCTTCGCAGTGGATAGCGCTATATATGCAATAGCGAAAATTAGACCTGAAAAAAAATCAGGCCTGTACGGGATTCGAACCACTGACCTCTGCGATACTAATGCAGCGCTCTTTTTCAGGTCTGATTTTCGCTATTGCATAAATAGCGCTGTCTACTGCGAAGGATCGTGCATCATACGTATTTAATACCGCAGTTCAAAATATATGAACTTCATATATTCATTGTATCTGATAAGCCATTTAATAGGTCTCAAACCAAGAGATCCAGATTCATTTCGGTTGTCGGCTGTATGTAACCATCAGAGGACTGCGTCGTATTCAAGCGGGGATTGTATAGGCTCTTTTTTCCGCCACATTTGACATTCAAAGTGGAAGGGATCTAAAACAAATATAGCTAAGCTGGAGAGTGTCTCCCGATTGAATCAAAGAGTAAGACGACCTGGCATTTGCAGGAGACGCAGAGACGGGGAATGAAGCGAACAGAGCTCAATCAAGAGCTGCAAGGATTAATTGTCTATTAAAAATGCATCTTATGAAAAGTGCCATGCTTTTAGTTACCGACGTGAGGATTCAAACTTTACTTTAATCACAAGAAGCAAATCAAGTTAGATCCCTGACTACAAACATCATCAGGTTATTAAATATAGACAAATTTGGATAATGATAAAAGTTTCTTTATTAAATGGAAAGCCTTTCATGTAAAAAACGAATATTCACATGACTGAATAACGCAATAATAAGTAAAATTTTCTTTTTCATTACAGCCGGTCTAAGAATCTCACAAAAATTGAGAAGAGAAATCTTAACCCCCAAGAAAAGTTGGTTCACCATTCAAAGTGCTGATTTTGGATCAAGCCGGTGGTGTAACGAAGTAGATGGAAACAAACATTGTCCATCGACTGTAAACTTTTTGGCACCGCTTAAAGCTTATGAAGTCTACATACTGAGCTCGTACGATGGAGTTTAAAAGTTGTTTTCTCCATGGTTGGAAGTTGCGGTGTTTTCTCAACAAGGAAGCAGTTTAAAAGTTGCAGTGTTTATGCATCATGTGTTTGTCAACCGAGAAGCAGTTTAAATGTGGTGGTGTCTGTGCATTGTACAGGAGGCAATTTAAAAGTTGCGGTGCGTGTCTATGCATCATTTGCATATTTTCCAACAAGGAAGCATTTTAAAAATTCCAGTATCTCCGCAGTTTAAAAGTTGTGGTATCTATGCATCATATGTTTGTCACTCAGGAAGTAATTTGAAAGTTGCAGTACATGTCTATGCATCATGTGTTTGTCAACAAGGAAGCAGTTTTAAAGTGGCTGTGTCTATGCATCATTTGTTTTTAATGAGGGAACAGTTTGAAAGTTGCGGTATCTATTTATCACCTTGATATCAATAAGGAAGCAGTTTGAAGTTGTAGTGTCTATCCACCGCGTGGTTGCCAAGAAAAGGAAGCGGTGTTTTTCTCGTTGCCATGTTCCCACCAATAACGTAGCTCCATTTTCTGTCTTTAAAAGCACACACAACCCACAATTCCTCTATTCGCTCTGACGAAGGGCTAACGCTCGAAACGTCAGCTTTGATAATCGTAACGGTGGCCAATTTACCATTTCAACTTTGTTGATATATTCAAATTAATCTTTGTAGTGTCTATGAGGGAATACTTTTATAGTTAAACACATGATTTCGAGTGCAATTTGAGATAAATCAGCACGAGTCAATCGCGCTGATTTTTCAAAGTAAAGTTTTCAGTCTAACCAAATTGCATGAACCCATAGGGTAAGTAAAATTGTAGTTTTTGATAGATTCGCGTTTACAGATTTGTCTTAAATTGCACGATAGGAAAACATGGGATTACTAAGAATAATATGCAAGCAAATATATGACTCTGTTTTCCTCTTTTGGTTGTTTTTATTTCTTGTTATGACTCACTGGTTCTACCGATTGTCTTTGCCCTGTTGTCGGATTAGTCGAGCTTTTCCCTCAAAACACGGTTCAAGCTTTAAATCTGTCTTCCACGAATAATCGAGCATTTTTTACTATTTGTCCGCTAGATAGCAGTAACCATTACACGAAAGCCCGTAGTCATTCCCGACTTTCGTTCGAACAACTGGGTAAAACGGCACAAAAGTTTATTTTGGGCCTCCGGTTCATCTTTTATAGAGAATGTTAGAAGCTCAAGACTTGTCTTTCGTTGTTGTTGTCGTTATGCTGAAACTTTTCTATTTATATTATCGGGCCTAAAAATTTATATTACAGAGGATGTATTTTTTAATAAATTTTTAATAAGTCAACGGTGTTCATTTTCTTAAGGCTTTCCAGGTCCGCCAGATAATACGTTCAAGCTCACGATTTTTCTAGGGCCGGTACTGACACTTAGGGAGTATTTTAATGTCAGTGTCACATTTACCCCTCGTAAGTTCCACGCAAAAGCGTTGAGTGGGAATGGCCGGTCATACAGGCCAAGAACATCGACTGAAAGGACAGTTTTTCAGATCGGTTTACAGTTATCTACCATTTCCCTTTGTGTCATACATGTAGGAGATGTAGGTAAAGCAAGAAACTTGACCCGTTTTCCCCCCTACCTTTGCATACTTCATTAAAGGAGGTAGCTCATGAAAGGAGCCCGTTAATTGGAAAACTCAACAAACCATCGCCAGTTAGCCTTCAGTTCAACCGCCTCCCGGTTAGCTCAATGGATAGAGCACTGGACTGTTGTGCGGGAGGTCGAGGGTTAAAGCCCCGGCCGGACCAACACTCAAGGTCATAAAATAATTGAGAAGAATATGCTATCTTTCCATAACATCAAGTAATTGTTAGATATTCTAGTCTTCTCGGATAGGGATGAATAAATGGAGGTCCCGACTCCTACAGGGTTAGGGGTAGGAGACGTTAATTTCCCAC